CCAGCTGATTCAGCGAGTTGCCTATGCACCGTGCTAACATCGCCTTATGAATTCTTGTTGCTTTTTTCCACTTTGTTATAAGGCCATAAAATAACAAAAACAAATAAATTAAGGACGACCACACCTAAAATTTTAACATTCCAAAAATATAATCTTAACAAAAACCAACAAAACCAACAACCACATGATGAAGTTTAAATAGCACTGGACTAGCTGCGCTTGATTGTAAATGAAAAAGTGGAAAAAATGTTTTTGAGTTCAAAACTCGAAAAGAAAAAATAGTCAAAGATTCAAAGTAAAGATTTTTCATATAATGAAATTAGATTCTAGTTTTTCTCTTTTTACTAGTATTTTAAAGGTTTCTGAAATAAATGTATTTTTTGATTATTTTTCCGTTTTTGTCTTTCTTAGTGCCTTCCTTTGCCTTTTTTGCAGTTTCTAGTGCCTTTTCATGGCTTTTTCGTGATTCTATTTTGCCTTTTTTATAGGTATAGGCATGGTATAAAAAAGTAGTTCCACTTAATAACATTAGCATCCATATTGGCCATTTGGCTTTTGCTGAGATTATGACATTTTCATCAAAATCAAGCTACCAGATTGAAACTTATAATACAATTTTTTTCTGAAAAGAATTTGATCGACAAAGGAAAAAATAAAATAATTGTTTAAAAATAAAAAAAAAACAAAATGTGATTGATTTTGACATTGCTCTCATAAGAAACAGGTTATAATGTCAAACTGAAATGATTTCTTAACCCATTTGAATTTTTTTTTTTTCAAATTTGAATTTGTTTAAAAAAAAGTTAGACACAAATTTTTCAAGCAACAAATTTTCTTAATAAACGTGAAATTGTTAAGAGATAAACCGCCGAGGAGAGCAAGTAAGTACATTTAAAGTTGGGTAATAAGTAAATACGTTCGACTTTTCTTAAATATTTAAAGTAAGGAAACCAAGATGAAACGGAGCAAAACGTTTGAACGGTGCGCTGTATGCAAAGTCAGGACACGAAAATAGTGCGATGTTTTAAGCCACCTAGTTGCGAATTAAGACGGCAGCGATGGAAAGAAAGCTGTGGTGTTGTACTACGTGATTCATCTCGCGCTTGTGAAAACCACTTCAAGGAAAGTGATTTCATTAGTTGTCCGTCCGAATCAAGCACTTTCAAACGAGCTCGTTTATACCCAGGCGCAGTTCCAATGCCATACGAAATAACTGATACAAGTGAGGTTATAGGATACATTCTTTGTTGATGGCCAAACTCAAACAGGCGATTCTTTAGAATGCACGTTGAGAACAGAAATATTTCTTCTTACCGAAATAATTAAAACCATGCAAGCAAGTATGGAAGAGCTTAATTTAAAAGTGGTCGAAGCAAAGTCTCTAATGGAAAAAATAGTTTTCGCATGAAAAAAATTTAATTTCAAAATTGTTAAAGTTAAGCTCACATATAAAGTTGGAAACAAATGTAAAATCCTACTTTTATAAGTGTCGAATAATGTTTAGGATAAAAAATTTAAATATAAAAATAAGCGCATAAAAGCTGCGCTGGGCAATTAAAAACAAGAAAATTGCTAAAATTATTTTGTAAACAATTTGCTTTATTTTATTCACAAAATATATATATTCCAGGTAATGTAAGTAAAACAAAACTATAATCGAAATAAAAGCCTAGGGCATCAGTGCTGACAAGATACATGGAAGCTAAGGGTTAATTTGTTTGTTTATACTTTTTGACATTATAGTACCTTAAAAGAGAGCCGCACTGAACCGTCAATCACACCTTACTTAATACACCTTGCGCACACGATGTAGAGAGACAGAGCGCATTCAGCAGTACCGCTTCTTTGGTTTTGGCGAATTTGACAGAATCAGCTGTTCGTGTGACGTCAGGATAGAATTGTCTGTGATAAGTTTGTTCTCGTACGAATAGTTACTAATAATTATTACGAGTTTTTGCTATTGAAAATTTTTAACTATAAAAAATTGCAGAAACAATTTGCTAAGAACTCACACTACTAATTTCTACTAGCTTAGTGTTTCATTATTCTTCTCTATTTCGCTATTTCTGGGCGTAATATTAAATTTTTCTTCGATCTTCAATTTTCTGTTCAAGTAGAATGAATGTCAAAGTAGATGAACACAACTACGCTTTGTTTACAAATGGCGGCCACCGCCATTTTTTGTCTCCTCCTTCTCCACTATTCATTGCAAACGTGACGTCATCGCCCGCAGGAATGCGCAATCTTGTATTCTATCATTCTTGGCTGAGGGCAGCGGCAAAACACGATCCACCCCTGCAAAAATCGCGACTACTCCATGCATGCGTGTAAAGAGTACTCCCTAAGAACCAAGGAGTACTCCAAAATTAACCACAATTCATATAAAAAATATGGTCCAATTAACATTGCGATGTCCTCGGGCAGGACCATATATACTCCATCCCTGCATTACATCAGAGTAGCACAAAACTACTCCAACATATTAACAATGGCATTGTTGTTATATTTTTTCGTTTGTACATGCTTTTTTTCTTCACTTCTCATATTCTTTTTCGAAATTAATAAAAACCAAAAGCAAAAATTTAAAATTACATGTTGCCTCTGACGGCATTCGAACCTGAACATGCTGGGAGCTAACAACTAACAGCGAGCATCTCTACACGTTCAGCTACAGCCAGACATGCAAACGCGTGTTCAAATGCTCAACTTTAATCACATTTCGTTAAAACACGAGCAGTGATCGGGTAACAAACAATAAGCTGGCGCAGAGACACGAGTTGGACCGCTACAGCATGACAGAGGAACACTTTTGTAAATACTCCAATATACCACAAATAGACTACATGGTCCAACGATTTTTGCAGGGACTGTGGCCATATGCTAAATATTCTCAGGTTGTTCAATCGAAATTGAAAAGTACTGTATTAGAGTTTGTTAAACATTAATAATCTTGTTTGTAAAAATTTTAATTGTACCTTGTCATAAGCAGCTGAATTCGTTGTCGCCGTAGTTGTATTTTACTGAGCGAAACTTTTGGGCGAAAGCAAGGCGTATTTAACAAGGTGGTGTTGGCCGTATATAAGTAAAAAATTACACTAACAAATTATACGCTGATGGCCATACTGTCATTGGTATGAGTTACAACAAACACATCATTTTGACGTAATGGCCTCCACGGCGAAAAACTCAGCTGTCGCCCCAACACCACCAAGGTGTATTAAACAAGGTGGTGTTGGGGCGCCAGCTGAGTTTTTCGCCGTGGAGGCCATTACGTCAAAATTATGTGTTTGTTGTAACTCATACCAATGACAGTATGGACATCAGCGTATAATTTGTTAGTGTAATTTTTTACTTATATACGGCCAACACCACCTTGTTAAATACGCCTTGAACACCACCTTGTTTAATACACCTTGGGCGAAAGTTTCGGACGCCGTCGCTCTACGAGGCGAAAATTCCCCGTTTGCCGTGGACTACTTTGGTATAGCCGATTTTTAAAGTTCTCGATTGATAGTAGACAACGCAAATGCCCTGAAATTCACTATACTCTTACTCAAATCATCGTTTTTCACATTTAATTTATTAATTTTTTATTACAAATCATATATTTTCACAATTTAAAACAATTCAAATCAATTAAATATCGAAATATAATATTTTGAAAATGTTTCCGCTTCCCCCGCGACCCCTTAGCAACCCAACGTTAATTTGCACAAAAAAGTATGCCACTAAAATTAGAAAAAAAGGCGGGCCTCGCCCACTTTTTTAGCTCAACGGCCCCGTTTCTTTAGGTATTCCTTCTTTTCAATAAACATATTTAAATTCTAATTTCTATGAAAATTTATTATTATTTGATGGAATACTATTTTCTGAGTAGTTTTATTTATCTGCAACCAGTATGTATTTTTCTTCCTTTTGCTGTTCGGTCCTTCATAAGTTCACCATGATTCAATATTATTGGGCCTCCGCACACTAACCTGCTCAGTCGGATTGAGCAGTCTACCATTCGAAAGCACACTAGGCTGGTCAGTCGGCCGAAAACACATTTCAGTTTTGTATGTATGAACCACGCTTTATTGAACTTGTGGCACATTCAAACAAAACGAAGTACAAAACATGTCGTATATGTGTGCGTGTCAGACCACGATTTTCGCGGGCAGAAATAAACGAGGTAAACACGAACTCTCTTTCCCCTGTAATTAGCACAAAACCGGTTTTAGCCGCACTGAGCAGTCCAGTGTGCGGAGGCCCATTAAATCATGTAAGTTCACCTGCTGGCAATGCTGTTCGGCGGGAAACGTAAAACAAATCGAACATAGCCACAACCAGTGTTGCTGCTTTTTCACAGATCTGACATATTTACATTGCACCAAAGAACGTACGTTCTACGCTCTTTGATTGCCCTACAATTATTTTTTTCTTTTCATACGCCTGCGGATGTAAAACTCACAATTCAGTACTGCTCAAATAACATTTAAATGAAATAAAAGCACTAACTGTCCGTAATTACATCTCTTTTCTGTGCTGCTAATGTAGGCAAATCTAGTAAAGCAAATAAGTTCAATGTTGTAAATCAAAACGTGCTGGCAGCCCTGTGCTGTTGCCATTCTATATTCGTAATTTGTTATAAGCAGTCGCGGAATCCTTTGCGGTGTTTCTACTGCAATTTTTTGATATTATATTAGCAATTTAAAGTATTTGAAAGGTGTGCATGTCTTGAAAATATGCTATAAGCCACAAATTGTTAAAATTTAGCAGTAAAGTGAACTTACAAAACTATATATGTCTTGTTGAAAAATTGGAGACGAATTTGCAAGTCGCCATGAAGCTACCGACAATTGCAACAACAACAACAGTGATTTAGTGTCGAACGTCGTCGTCATTGGCTCGTAGCAGTTGCGGCCGCTGCGAAACTGCGAAACAACGAGAATTATTTCGAACGGCAAACGACGGACAGGCTCGTAATAGAATACAAAGAACAGAGAGAATGTAAAAAATAGCACAAAAGACGATAATAAGAAAATTGTTAAAAAGGTTCAGAATATGTAATAGCAAAAGCAAATAAAAATTGATAGAATTTTGCTTGTTGCCATATTCATACCTGAATTGTGGTGGAAATGCGAAACGGTAGCCATGCTGAGTGCAACTTTTTTAAATTTATACTCGTAGTAGTAGCTCGTTACTCTTTGCAAATCAATGAAAAGTGGAAATTTTCTTTTTTAGGGGTAAACCTTGTAACAAAAAACATGTTTGCAGAAGTGGCAAAACTATTAAATCAATTGCGCGCTAATAGTTTCAATCAAATTTAACATACGAATTGGCCGCAGTTACAGGGGCACATAGTGCGAAAATATCAAGAGAATCTAGTCACGCGGTGGCTCAATCGCAAATGGTGCTTTCTAAAGAATTGTACAAAATTTGTTACTCGAACAATAGCCGCTAAAAATGCCCGACTATTAGAGCAAAATATTGAAGGTTGTGCACTTATTGAATAAGTGCAGGTAAAAGGTATTGGAAATTGAAAAAAGAATCTGGCGAATGGACCGGAAAAGAAAACAATAGCGTGGAGCAAAACCAAGCGGCAAAGTAAAGAAGTAGATAAAAACGACGAAGCAAACAGAAAAAGGAAAAAAGTCAACCTATAAAAAAATCAAATTGCACTTTGTGTTGTCATTCGTGTCTTTAAAATTTCCACCCGCAGTCGTCTGCACGTTTTCGCGTACACATGTCCGAAAGGAAGGAATAAAGTAAAAAAAAAAACGCGTTGTCCATAAATTCTGCTTTTGTGTCGTTGTACGTTGCTGTTTTTGGCGTCGCAACCACCGGTCGTTGCCGTTTGCGACGACGCCGGCGCTGCCGCTTGTGGTTGCTTGCATTTACCCCACGAATACAACAAACACTGCGACTGTGTACAAAGAGGAATTGGGCAAAACGTCGTTCGTCGTCGGCTAATCGCCTTTTTGTTTTCTTTACTTTTTATCTATAGTGTGCGAATTGAATATGCGTAAAGAGAATTTATGACAGAACACAAGAAAACTTAAAATAAAGCATTTTTAAAATCTATGTACCAAAAGTAAATTAGATACTTTGGCTTGTGGGAATAAAAATAAGATAACAAAGAGAAAGCGTGGAGGCAAAGTGCTAAAATAAATAAATTGGAATAATATAAGTGAAATTTTACTTAGTTGTAGTTATTCATTACTTCCATTCAACATTGTGACACCAGGTCGTCCCAATCCCAATATATTCGAGAACAGTAACGCAAATATTCAATTGACACCACTTGCGCCATAAGTAGCTGCTGCATCCAGCGCATTGCGAAGTTGTCATGGCCGGTAAGTTCCTCCTTTGGTATACACATGTAGTAAGTATGTATGTACTTATAAATGGATACGTATGTATGTGACTAACTATTTTGCTATAGTAGATTCGTCATGCAGTTTAGAAGGTCCACTCTAGCTTGCCTTAACATCCATTTTGTTGGTACATGAAAGCTTCCGTCGTGTACATTGTTTCCGTTCAAGATATGCTTGGTAAATTCTATATGACTATTTGACATTCCATTAAAGACTGCCAATTGAACGAACTGAGAATAATTGTATGTGATATGCATCTACAACCCAGTAGATAATTTAAGAGGCCTTCAACTCTGCATACCCTTTCTCCTTTCGTTTTTTTATGTTGATGACATCTGCTATCTTTTCCATAAGTTCTTTTGGGAAACATATGTACATAGACATATGTACCCTTGTGGTCAGCTGATTAAGTCAAGTGACATTTTGACTAGATTGGCTATTTTTCTTTTGCATATTTAATGTTTATATTTTTCATAAAAGTTTAGCTCTTTATCTAACCAGCGCTACATAAATCCATACATATTTCAAACTTCGTACAAAAATAATGAAAATTCAACTAACTTTAACATTTGCACCCGAAAATTTTAAACTTTTTATTTAGAATTATTAGAAAGATTTTGGGTATGCCGTTTTGTAGATCATTAAATTTTAGTACGTTAAAGTGCAAATTTCAAGACGCTAGAAATTCGCGTTGATTTTTAATAATTTTTTTGGCTGACGGTGTTGTGCATTTTCTTTCATATAAAATATGCTCGATAATTTAGTTTGAATATAAAAAATCAACGCGATTTTCTATCGTCTTGAAATTTGCACTTTTTCCTACAAAAATTTCATGATCTACAAAACTGCATACCCAAAATCTTTCTAAAAAGTCTGTATAAAAAGTTTAAAGTTTTTGCTAAAGTGCTAAACTTTTATAAAAAATATAAACATTAAATAAACAAAATAAAAATAACAAAAACTAGTCAACATGTCATTTGACTTATAGCGTTTTCTTTTCTCGAAAAAATGATGCTTTTTTCTGCCCTGCGCCAGTGCTGTCACGTTTTCGTGTTCTTTTCGTTTCTTTAAAATGTTGCACTCTGATAATGTTGCCATATAAGGTGACATTTTTTCGAGAAAAGATAACGCCATTAATCACCTGACCACAAGTGTATGTATTGGTACTTCAGAAGACCTATTTGAGGAGTTCTTTTAAAACTGGTCCTCAAGATATTTAATTAAGTTGTCACTTAAAATGCATACCGAAATTCATTTGTAAAGTGACAGTTATTTATTCTCGTAAATTTTTAGTATGAAAAGCCCTTCTAGAAGGCATGCAGGAAAACCATTTTTTCATCCCTTCATGGATAAGCCTTTTAGAATGGCTTTTAACTTAAGAAATCCTACCTAAATTATCCTTCTGGGATGAAGTGTACATCAAATATCTAAATGTACTGTTGTTCACAAAATAATAGTAGTGCGATATTTTGATCATTTCAATTCTCAGAAATCAAGGGGAGTTTTCACCAACTTGAATCTTGCACTTCATCAGACTAGAATTACATGGGGTACAAAATTGCATACGAAATTTTTTCTAGATTCGGATTAAAAAGTAATAGATTTTGGTGAAAATTTGTAGATTTTTTATAATTTTTGTACAAAGTTTGAAAAGTAAATTTATATGGTGTTTTTTGTATATCCAGCTGGACTTTTATAAAAAAATAATAAATATAAAATAAATAAAAAAGTCAAATAGCCAAAACTGATCAAAATATCGCACTACTATTATTTTGTAGACAACTGTGCATATATATGTATGTACATGCATACAAACATATGCACATACATAGTTGTGAGGTAATCAAATGCATGCCCTTTAGTAAAAGGCATACATAAAACATTTGTCGACTTTTTACCAAAGCACATGAGAACCAAGTGCACTTGACCATAGAAGAACTATATGAATATCTATAATTGTAGCTTTACTATGTACATTCATTCATTTGAGGATATGTTAGTTAGAGATATGTGGGTTGGGGGGTGACCGTCATTGGCCAGGTATATGTTCATACATAAATCTGGGGCGTACTGGTTACGTAGAGCGACTGTCGTGGGAACGCTTAACTAACGGTAAGCCTGTTTTTACGGACCCGGACCAAAGGGTTAAGGGTGTTGGCTAAGTGGGTGCATGGACAAATAGGTGGTTGCTGCCGTGGGCAAATACCTCAGTAGGTGGATATATGTACATATGTATGGATAAAAAATATCAAAACTCACATCTAAAAAATATTTTTTATTAATTTAAAATTTATTACATTACTTTGAACTTTATTAACCCTTTATATAAATTTAATTTGTGTAAAATAGGCCTTATTCGCGTTTACTGTAATTTAATAATAGCAGACCTCAAATGTTTTCATAGCTTTAACAAATTCACATATTTCAATTAAAGAAGGGATATAATACAATTCTAAAAATAGCAATTTATTTAGTTACTATCTTCAGTCGTGCAAAGCCCCATACATTTAAATAAATGACCTGAAAATCTTTTGCTACTTCCGCTGTTCTTTGCTTGCCCTTTTCAATGCGTTAATACATTCATATATCTATATGTATATTTACACATGTATTTATACTATAAATTTATATATTTTTCCTAATCCACATTTCATTTATGACGTAACTGCTAGCAAACATAATTTCGCAAATCAATATGTAGAACTTAAAACGATGACGTCGGCTAGCAAAAATCTATTATCATTTTATTTTGTTGTGCTTTTTGCCGGCACACGACATGACATGGGCACACATGCACATGTTTAAATGCCTAAGTTAGTTGAATGAGGTCAGGAAGCGGCGTTTAGTTAGTAACAAAAGAACACGCAAAACAACAAATTCCATTGCATGATTTATGCGACGTGCATACATATGTATGTATATAAACATATGCACATATAAATACATAACTGGGTACCTTTTTAATATATTTAATGCATATAATAATGATAAGTACATTGACGCTTATCCAATATGTTAGTGTTTGGCCAAGCTTCTCCTCGAAGAAATTCGAGTTGATTTTAAATTCCTAAGCCTGCGGCGACCATCGTCACAAATATTTTCGAAATTGATCTAAATTTTATACGTTTTAAATTTTATTCTTGAAAAAATACATGTAATTTTTAAGCAAACAAGTAATTTTTAAGCAGAAACCAAAACCGACTTCAATTCTCGTATAAAAATTTAATAGTACCGTTAATTGATTCATGGCCAAATGATCGAATCTAAATCAAATTATAGATAGAAAAGAATAGTCAAAATCGGTTGACGTGATCCAAAGTTATCCAGTAACATACATAAAAACGTTCAGCCGAATTGATAGCCTTGTCCTTTTTTTGAAGTCGGTTAAAAACGAAACCGACTTCAATTCTCATATAAAAATTTAACAGTACCGTTAATTTCTTAATGATCCAATAATCGGATCTAAAAGAAACAAAAAAAAAAAAAGAATTATTGAAAACGGCCAATGTGCTCCAAGTTATGCAGTAACAGACATAAAAATAATATTCCGACGAAGATGATAACAAAATTTATATTATTTTTATGGAAAGCACCCCCTAGAAGTTCAAAAAAACACAAAAATACGTTACAGTACAAACTAGAAAAGTGGAGCCATTTCAATATCTCGAGAGCCGGGTTTGGATTCTGCGGGAAAAATACTTAGTTGTACCACACGAAGTTGTTAGAATATTATGGTAATTCAAATTTGCATTTTGCCTTACCGATGTTTAACTAAAAAATTGCTGTTTTTTATTAAAATAAAATTACAATGTTTACAAGCGCCTGTGAACCCTTTGGCGAGTCATCTAAGAAGAAATTTTGAGTGAAAAATTGCTATGAGAACAAGTAACTACTTATGAGTAAGCGCCGGGGGTGCCACACGTTAACTTAAATTATTGGAATATGGGAACGATTACATATATCTGAGCATACGTAGACGAGACCGTCGAATTACCATTAATTTTTTCTACATGGAAAGGTTTCGACGAGTAGTTCAAGAATGTGTGAAATAGTCGATCAAAAAACCTTACCAAATTTCCTATTAATAATCCACCTTTTTTATTTTTTCTCGCCGACACAGGTAATGGAGAAGCGTCGTGGTGCTTCTCACAGATAAAAGGCGCCTTAGACGATGACGTTACCGATGCTGATATTATATCCTGTGTGGAATTCAATCATGATGGTGAATTGCTGGCAACAGGTGATAAAGGCGGGCGTGTGGTCATCTTTCAGGTATATAATCATATCTTGTGTTTACCACTATTCATCGTTTTAATAGATTTGTTTTCGATTTATTAGCGCGATCCTATATCAAAAACCTCAATACCACGTCGCGGTGAATATAATGTTTACTCGACTTTTCAATCGCATGAACCCGAATTCGATTACTTAAAATCATTGGAAATTGAAGAGAAAATCAATAAGATCCGATGGTTGCGACGAAAGAATCCCGCGCACTTTCTTCTCTCAACCAACGATAAGACGGTTAAATTGTGGAAAGTCAGCGAACGGGATAAATCGTTTGAGGGCTATAACACAAAGGAGGAGAGTGGTCTTGCGAAGGATCCACAAAATATAACAGGCTTAAAAGTTCCTTCAGTTAAGCAAATTCCACTTATGGTGGAAGCGTCACCACGCCGCAACTACGCCAATGCACACACCTATCACATCAATTCAATTAGCGTTAATTCTGACCAAGAGACTTATCTGTCCGCCGACGATTTGCGAATCAATTTGTGGCATCTTGAAGTGACCGATCAAAGTTTTAATATAGTCGACATTAAGCCAGCCAATATGGAAGAGCTGACGGAGGTGATTACCGCCGCCGAATTCCATCCAACCGAGTGCAACGTGTTCGTGTACTCGAGCTCCAAGGGCACAATACGTCTATGTGATATGCGTTCGGCGGCGCTGTGTGACCGGCATAGCAAACAGTTCGAAGAGCCGGAGAATCCAACGAACCGTAGTTTCTTTAGTGAAATTATAAGCTCGATAAGCGACGTAAAGCTAAGCAACTCCGGACGTTATATGATCTCTAGAGATTATTTAAGTATTAAAGTGTGGGACTTGCATATGGAAACGAAACCAATTGAAACTTATCCGGTTAGTTAAATATTTAAATGATTACACTTAGCTATGAACTTATTTATGTTTGTTTTTATGTTTATATTGGGATTAAAATCTTTTTTTTTTATTATTTAAAAAATGATAGCATTGGAATTATTTCACTAGCTTATTTAATTTTTTTTCTTTTAAAAATGATAAAATAGAAATAATTTCAAGAGCTCAGTGAGCGTGGATACCAAGCGATAAAAATTTTTAAATGTCGATATATTTCGAAGAAGATATTTGGTATTAGGAGATTATTCCCACCAGACAATTTTTGTTGCCGGCAATAAGAAAACTTGTCGCCCTCAGCAACAAATTAATTGTAGTTGCTCTAAAACGTCCGTCGAAGGCAACTCGCCTGGGCGAGTCGTTTTCTTATTACCTGAATGAGTCGTTTTATTATTGCTACAGACGATATTTGAATAATAATTTCTTGCAAAAGTGTTATTCATTTTTAATATTTCATTTGTTTTTGAACACAAACTTATAATTGTAAACGAAATTAATTATTTTCGTCGCTATGGGCCTTCCTTTTTTTCAACCCTATCTTGGGCATTAATTAGATGATTTTGAGGAGTCCTGTTGACGCAGTTTGGAAATTTTTGAAAACATATTCCTAAAATAACAAAAGAAATAATGTTGCCGACTTCTCACTAGGGAATTAAATCGGCGATACACCAATTTGTTGCCATTGACGATCGTTGCCTATTTCTTATGTTTTCCATGGTGGGATATTAGCAGTTATGTTTAATGTTTTTCATTCACGACGTTAGTCTTTTCTGAATAGAATACAAATACAATTAAGTTTACCAAAATTCGCACCAACATATTACAAATTTGTTAGCAGAACAGAAATGCATATTATTTCGGTACATGCGTACAAGTGTATATTGTCTAGAAGATGTTTAGTTAGCAGTGCGCGCTTCCATTCCGCAGGGCCTTGGTTCGTTTCCTGTTTCCGACCAACATCAAAAAAATAAAAACAATTAAGTTTTTTCTGATAACAGTTGCTTTCTCGACATAAAACTGTTGTTACTAAATGGTAGACAAGTGGATGAGCTTATTTGCATTTGAAGCCTATATTTACATTAACTCGTGAATTATCTCCATAGACAAACGCGCATTAGCTCGCCGTAAATGCACAAAATAAATGTGCATTTAAACTAAAAATTTACATAGTTTTGCCGTTGATATGAAGATTGCCGCTGACTTACGGCAAAAAAAAACAAAAATTACTCCATGGAAGCTGTAAAAAATTTTAATGTGAGAAATTCTTGTTTCAACTTGTTCTTAATTCAGTTTAACTCTGTTCGTCTCTATACCATTTAAGGCTTAATTTTTATTTTACAATCAAGTGGTAATATTATTTTTTCTTCATTTCAGGTTCACGAATATCTACGCATTAAACTTTGCTCACTATATGAGAACGACTGCATTTTCGACAAATTCGAATGCTGTTGGAACGGCAAGGATACTTCCATAATGACGGGCAGCTATAACAATTTCTTTAGAGTGTTTGATCGCAATTCGAAAAAGGATGTCACGTTGGAGGCGTCACGTGACATTATCAAACCAAAAACGGTGCTTAAACCGCGTAAAGTTTGCACCGGTGGCAAACGAAAAAAAGACGAGATCAGTGTCGATTGTCTCGATTTCAATAAGAAGATACTGCATACCGCTTGGCATCCGCAAGAGAATATTATCGCTGTGGCGGCAACAAATAATCTGTTTATATTTCAGGATAAGTTTTAGCTAAAACTCCCTCATCTCCTTCAGTTCTTCATCACCATTATGGCGTCGTTAAGAATAATTATTATGATTAATTCTAAATTTTATACTTGTCGCTGCTACAATTGCTATCACTCACTACTTTCTATCAGTATCAGTGTGTAATCAGAGCAAAAAAAAAAACAAAAACGTTAAGCGAAGTCCGGGGAGGAGGACGAAGACGAAGACGAACGTGTAGGCGTAGGCGAAGTCACAACTCATAGTATATAAATACAACTCACTATTAGCGCTACAAATTAACGAAACAAAATCTATATTAGCATTGTTGATTATCGGTACAGCGCTAACAAGCCGTAAGCCTTAGCCAAAAGACACAAAAACGTAAAGTTTTTAGTTCTAAGTTTTGCACAAAGGTTTACATAAGCGATATTATTATTACAGCGTTTGCGACATTACAAGGGTAGAAGGAGTAAGGGAGAACAGCTGGCCACATCAGCAAAGTGTTCGCCTGCTGTTGCACACAACAAAAACGCCTTAAACTAATGCTTTGTACAGTTACTCTGATTACAGTTCTTTTAAATTCCTTAAAATAATGTTGCCTCGGCTAAATCGTTTCAGTTATTTTAAGAAGGTGTTTTTATACAATATTTATGAGAAAACAGTAAGAATAACAAGTAAATATTAATGCAAAAATTTCTTTGCTTAATTTATAATAAAAACGGAAATTGTTAATAATCAATGATTTTTTCTTTTTGTTGATTCGAATATCCAAAATTGAAATAAGATGAAAAATACATTAAAGAACTTCAATTAAAAAAAAAATAATAAAAAAATAAAAAAAATTAATAGATGACAACTGCAGTTTGAACTCAGAAAACTAGACTAAAAACAGATAGGAAGAGAGGGAGAGAGAGCAAAAATGCAAAAAATTTAACTTTATTACACTATCTACAAGCTTAAGAACGCGCAAGTTATGTATTAGAAATAAAACAAAAACCAAAATTTTAAGCCCTTACATTATTTAAAAAAAAAAAAAATGTATGAAGACATGTGTTAATGGCAACAGTATATGTAGCATAGAGTTGTAATGGGAATGAAGATCTAAAATAAGGGATCGGTTTTCCACTTATCGAAAATTTGTCGATATTTGTGAAGTAGCAGAAAACAAAAACTATGCAAAACACCATACTGGAGCATAATTTTTTGTTTTTATATTACAATAAAAATTTGTTTCAGCAATAAACCAGGTACACAAGTTCGTAGATATTTTTTGTTTTACAAAAATAAAAAAATGACGCTATACCAACCTATTACAGCATAAAAAATTTCCCACATAGCTATTTGGCGAGAAATATAGTCGGTAACGTAGGCAACCGGCCTTGTGCCTTGGCGACACATCACTTTAATAAGGTCATTCGGTAAATAATTCAACTTTTTTTTATGCAATTTTATAGAATATATCCGTTATTTTATTGGCGAAATCGCTATTTTTCGTTTTCAACCAAAAAACAGTCGTTAATCTAAGATTTTAATATTTTCGCTCATTATCGATCGTTATAACTCAGTTGAAATTTTTTTGTTGTTAATAGTAAGATCGCATAAATGAAACCTGATAACTACGATTATGTGTGGTAAAAAAATCAAGGAAGAAATATATGCCACATAATATCGATCAAATGCGATCGAAAAAATATAAGAATAATCTATGTAATATGATTGAGAAAATAAAAATCGCCTGAGATTATGAAATATGCTCGACAAAAGAGCACTCTAATTTAAAAGTTTAAATTATTATTTTTTTTATAAAAACGTTGCTGTCCCTAATATCTGCATCCAATCGCCACTAACGAGAAATCATATACTTTTTTTACGATTAAACTTTTTTTCCAGGTTTGGGTCAGTTATGAAACTTTCTAACTTGTTCCTATACTAAATCCCCAAGAGGAAATTTAGAGGAACCGAATTTTGGAAGATACTAAAAGAGAGGATATGTACAAAAACCCATAATAAAAAGTTTCTACCTCTATCAAGGGGTGTCTGTACGACCTGAAACATATATGTAACACTCGTGAATCTTTGTTATGTAATAAAAATTTTCACAGCGACAATATTAGTCCGCGAAATTGGAGCGTTACATATATGTAACACTAGCGTTTAAAGAGTTAAAAGTTCTAAAACTCCAGCAAACATTTTTTACATTGGCACAAAAATAAATGGAAAAGCGAGATCGTAGTTATTCTTGTTTTCATACGAATCGTATATACATACATACTTATGTAGTAAAATCCCATCTACAAATGAGGACATACGGTTACACAAAGAAAACGCAAATTAAACTTTAAAGACAATAGAATTGTAGATTTTTTTTTAAACGTTCATATGTCCCTTTCCCCAGTAGAGAGTTAAGTCACTTTCGGCAGGTGACTGCCTTATAGAAGCAATACAAATTGTTTACTTAATTAATTTCAACGATTTGAAAGGTATTCGGCTGTAAAACTGGGTTCGAATCGTCACGTACGATATTGTACTACTCGTCACGTAAAAACATATTTTTCGGATTATGGCTAACTATTTCATAGCTCAAAGAAGTACAGGTTAGGTTGGGTTGAGTCAACGACGAGAGCTGATTACGAAATTTCGAATGCATCTAATTTCGATCCCTGAGAGCTCAGTGTTTGTTCAGAAGTGCGAACCAAAATGCTTCCATCTTAGCCTCGCGATGATTGGACAGTCTAAAAGAAAGTGTGGAGATGATTCCACTTCATCTTCCTTTTGACAGCTGATAAAAAAGGAACGGTTGAACTTCCTAGTCTCATCGAATACCAATCGCACAATGGCCTGTCAGAACCCACATCACTAGCCCTTGAAAGGGCATGTGCTTTAAACCAAAAGTTTCACATCATCTACATAGGCGATCACCCGACAGCCCACTTTTTCCAGTTTCTCTAGAAGGTCGTTTACAACCTTAATCCAGAGCAGGGGAGCGCTGCTATTGACTCTGCACTGAGTGCAGGCGCTGTCCCCCTCCACCGCGACTGTTCGGCCACGAAGTAAGCTGTAGATAAGCCTCATTAGGTTGGTTTCAACCTCCAGATTATGAATATACTTGACTATTGCCTCTGGAGTGACATTGTTGAAGGCCCCTTCTTTATGCGTGAAGGGTTCCTTTGACCGCTTTACCAATGCGTGCAGTGCTCTTGAAAGATAGTCACGAGGAATCGCGTTTCTTATGTGTTAGTCTATCAGTCTCTCTAGTGTTTTTATCAAAAATGAAAAAAGACTGATTGGCTTAAAATACCTAGGGGAAACATGCGCGCCTTTTCCGGCCTTCGTAATGAACGCAACACTGACTACCTTCCAAGACTTGTGTACCCGGATGTACCCGGTTCTCACGCAGTTCGCATAAATAGGATTCAACCAATTGCACGACACGTTCAGAGGCCTATTACAGCTGAGCTGGTATGATGCTATCGGTCCGCGGCGACTTTAATGGTTTGAAAAAATTTATCTTTAACTTTTTGACGCAAAAGCATTTATATTATGCGTCAAAAAGTGGGATAGCTATCCGAAAATTGTCGATAACAAAATTACAAAATCTCCCTCCCGAAGGACAAAATATTGCAAAGAAGTACATTTGACTGTACTTCGAAGTACGAAGTACAAGAGCGAAAAAAGATGTACTGTACTTCCGAAATAAGTACGGTTGGTCATATTAATTATGGCATACGTGAACGTACTCTTTGTCCCATTCTGCTTATACTGCCTGACGTATCACGTAATTTTTTTTTTTCGTATCGTTTTCGATCCATGAACGGATGTTACAATTCGAGCCTAGTTTTTTGTCCAAGTATGCGTCAGAACTAAAACTCGCATGTCCCTTAATGGCGACCCTTTATTGTAAATAAATTTTTTCATACACCAGTGTTGCCACTTTAAGACAATTGTGGTGAATCTACCACATTTTGGGTAATTTTTCACTTCTACCACAACTACCATATATTTACATAAAATAACTACCACAATTTTACTGAAATAAAATTATTAACCTAATTTGAAAAATGTTTTTTTTTTTTTCATTAGAGCTGAACCGTGAATTTTCTCCTCAATATGAATTTAAATGTCAAGAAAATGTACTGTGAATTTTGTGTTAGTTGAAGAGCTGAAGGTGCTGCCGTTTCAAAATTTCTATTGTGTGCGTGAAGGATAATTTGGACTTACATGAGGCGATTTTCTTAGAGATTCGACATCGCCTGTGATGTTGCTTACCAACAGTATTTCCACAGACAACAAAACGTAAGAACCTTTTGCAAAAATTAGAAATAAGATGTTTTTTATGACAAAGATATATGTATCTACTAAGGCAAAAAAAAAATGAAAATTTTAGTAGGCAAATATCTGGAAAAAATGGCGCAATAGAACAAAACTAAGAATGCAGTTTATCTACATTTAAATACTAGTTCATGGTTTGATATATCTTTTTTTGGCAAGTTTTTACCTACCAACTAATTTGGTTTCTGAAGTGACAACACTGCATACACCACTTAAAATTTTGAGCTATTTTCTTTGCCACTTGGGCAGCAAACATAAGCAAAAAATATTCACATATATATGTATGTATATGCGGATCGCGTACCCTAAAGCGATTCTTGTTTATAAAAAATTATTTTTTTTATTCAATTGAATTTTTTTACCAACTCAAATCAAGAATTATGAAATTATTTTTATTTTTTTGCTTTTCAGTTCAATTGTATTATATTTTTTTAAATTTGGTTCATTTTTTTGGTAAGAAACTTTAAGTCAATGAAAGGTACAGTAATTTTTTTTTTTATGAAAGTAAAATTGAAAGTTTAGCGCAAATAATGCTTTTTGAATTCTTTTCCTTGGTTTACGAGAAGTTGGTAAAAAATTCAATTTATTAAAAAAAAATATATAATTTTTCATAAAACAAGAATCGAAATTTTACAAATTGACCGCTTTATTTTGTTGTCCGATAAGTTCTTTAACTGCTGTCAAAAAATCATAAGATTCGAATTAATGGCTGTTGAAATATTTCAAAAAGTTTAGAAGTCACCTTAAAAATTTGTTTGCTAAAAACTCGTCAAAAAAATAAAATTGGCGCAAAATCTTTGGTGTCAATATTGCACACCATTTTAACTTTCAAAATCGGTCAAGGAAATATAAGAAATCGAAAAGTCAGCTTTGGGTGCCCACTTGAGAAAACTGGATTCATGATTGAATCTATTACAGGTCCTGTAATTTTTTTATAGATCAACTTGGCAATTACTGAAAACCTCTACTGACTTTGTACTAATTTTCAACTATCACTCGACTGGTTAAAACTATTTATTTGTAATCGTACTTGGAATCGAAATATAAAGCCGTGCAGTTGAAATACAGTATTCATATACATACTATATCTAACATTCAGTGCTTTTATTCATAGTCAATTTTATTTGCCATTGGCAATATTATGCGCCAAGGCGAGAGGAATGTATGTGCTCTTATTACTTTATGTTTAAAGATATTGCTCATATACATACATGTACATATGTGCATACATACCATATACTACATTTAATCTAAATATTGTTTATTCTTCTGCCAGTTTGTATTTCTATAAACATTTTCATTCCACAATACTCTGCCAAAGGAATACAAGAACATAATAAAGACGACTTATTTCTTATACATACTAGCATGAAGAAAGTGTAATACAACAAATATTATAGAAAGTGCGAATGGCAACAAAAAGGTTTATTTCGCCAATAAGGGACTTTTCTCATACATATGTACGATAAGTGGTGCAACGAGACAAACAATAACGACAAAGAGCACACATTCATAGGCATTATGCATTGAATTATTATTATGTTGCGCTTGTAAAATCAAATATGTACTAAAATTTCAACAAAAATTATATGAAAATTTAAACTTAAAATCAATTAGACATTAATATAGCTTACTAAAATAAAAATAAAAAAATATTTGATAAAAAGAGGTAAATACAATATACTGTACATACCATCATACTATACATAAATAAACGAACTGGCATCCGGCATTATTAGTGACCCAAGTTGTATTGAATGAATACATATTTGTGGATAATTTTCGTTGGGAAATTTACCTTCATTATTATTTCTTTTGTTTTTTTGCGCGCAAATTTCTTCATTTAATTTAGTTCTGCCATAAAATGGCACTACTTAATGGCTTAATTTTGAGTATTCCTACTCGTAATCATTAAAATACAAACTGAACACTTTTTAGTAATACAATTACATAAGTCGTAAAGAACAAAATAGTAATATTGCTGACATTGAAGCCTCAAAAGAAAAATACTTTGGAAATTGCTTAATTTATGCTTGGAATACTGTGTAGACTCCACTATTTGACGTTTCTCTGGCGTCTTTAGCTGGAATTCGTTTAGGTTTTCGAGTGTTTAACATGAAATAGTACTACTCCAGCAATCTAAGAATAAAGCTATAATGAATGAACAGTCGAATAACTTCAAAATGCGTTTATTTGCTAAATATCATTTTTGTCTTCTCTTAACACTCCTACATTGCACATTGCAAATTTCGATTCTCTGATAAACGAGCTTGGTAATTAATTACATATTTTTAAAACAAAAATTACTGTTGGGAAAATGTATTATTATATTTCCCCACATGATCCTAAATTATATGACTCCCAAGCTCTACAAAATAGCATATTATGTAAATGTAAAAAAGGACACGTTAGGCAAGAGTTGAAGTGTGTAAGGAATATATGTAT